CTGCACATTGTCTTGGCCACCGAATTGGTCATTCCCTAGGTTTGCGGATTTCAACAGATTGGTAGTCAAACTTGCTTCATGATTGCCATTATTTGGTGTCATCTCCACAATTTCATCAATGCCAAACACGATCTCATCTTGTTTTCTTATTCTCACCATTTTCCTTGATCCAAGTTTAGAATGTGGTCCCACTAGGCATGCCACAAAATTGTTGCACCAAAATCTGTTGTTATCAACGAAGGAAACTCGATCGATAAATAGTTTTCAAGTGATTGTTTATGATGGGTTCAATATCTTTTTTTGAGAACTTTCTTGGATGAATTTTAAGAGATAATCACATAGTACATGGAACTAATAAAAGAGATTCTTTTATTAATTCAGACTAAAGGATTTTAGTTATAGAAAAGACTGAGTTAACAGTCTTGATTGTAGTAACTACGTCCTAAAACTAATCTAAAAACTACTTGTAAAAATGTCCTAATCGTGGATCTTGTAGGGGTTTGAATTTTTCCATCATCTTCTCCATTGTATCCCTTTTATAGCCACTACATTTGACGGTTATCTAGATGATAATTCCAAAGCGGTTATTCTTCTTTTCAAATATGGTTGTGGTTAATCATCTCCTGTCTTTCTTCAATTCCTACCACATGGCATGTTCTCAATACCTCCAGATTTGCCAGATGTTAATACATAAAATATTTATGTAATTTTTATTTTAGGTCCAAACACTATCAAAACGGACCTTAGTGTGTCAGGTCCCATCCAATTGTCAAACCATAAATTAATGGTATGCCCATTTCTAGCTATCCACCGTATTCCTTTTAGGAATAAAGTCCTACTTGCCTTCATGCTGGACCAAATACATGAGCTGGTTTTCCTCTTTTCTAGCCCCCCTACAGTCGAGGTATTTTTGTCCAAGAGTCTTGGTCCACACTTTCTTAGGATTTTTCAAGAATCTCCTATTTATCATTGCCATTACCACTAGGTTTCTATGTTTGACTCGACTAATTCCCAATCCTCGTAACTTCTTTGGATTGGACACTTCTTCCCAATTAACCAAATGGATCTTCTTTTTTTTTGGTCGATTGAACCTCAAAGAAAATTTAGATTTATTCTATCAATTTCCTCACATACTACAACGAGAAGTTTCAAAACTTGTATATGGTACTGGAGGGTAGCTGATTTGACAGAGTTAATTAAAAGTTGCCCGAATTTCTAGGAATAAGAGTTTTGTTTTCCATCCACCCAATTTATTCCTAATCTTATCAACCAGGAATTGAAAATTCGCTCGTTTGGGTTTTTTGTGGATCAAAGGATATCTCAAGTACTTCCCTAGATTATTTGTGCAACTAATTCCCAAGGTGTTGCTCCATTCAGTGATCACTTCTAGTGTACAATTTGGAGAAAACTTCATTTTTGACTTTTGAAAATTAATTTTTGGAAAAATCTCATTTTGTCCCTTGAAAGATAAAAAATTTATCAGCTTGCCCCCGAACAAATAATTTTCCCATATTGTCCCTCAAAGAAATAAAAATGTTACAATGTGGTCTAATGTTTTTATTTTTCTCTTGGTCGTCCGTTTGTTTTTTATCAGGCGACCAAACGAAAATAAGATGGTGGACCAAATTGTAATGTTTTTATTTTTTTTTGAGGTGACAGTATGAGAAAATTAATCATTCAGAGTGTAAATTGATAATTTTTGTATCTTTCAAGGGTAAAATGAGATTTACCCTTAATTTTTTGCCCCGAGGTTGTACAAAACAGCTCAGTGTGTCCTTAAAATGTTTACACTCCTATTCATGAGTTGCTTCTCCAAAAAGAAACTAGTCATCCGCAAACATTATTTCTCCTCTGCCTATTTTCACTGGTTTCCATTTTCCTTGTTCAACCGACCTTTCTATCATGTTGGCCAATACATTCATGCAAATGATGAATAGGTAGGGTGACAAACGGTCCCCTGCCTGACTCCTCTAGTCGCCCTAGCCCATTATTCCCTAACTCATTATGTGGTACTTTCATTAATTAGTATTGTAAATTTGGTTGAGGTCACGCACGCCATGATAATGTTAATGATTTTTCGGGGAAGCTCTATTTTTATTAAGGTTTGCTCAATGAAATCCCACCGAAGTCAATCATAGGTTTTTTCCAGGTGTTTTTTTTAATGGCCACTATTCCTTTTCTACCCTTCTTTTTGGTCATGGTGTGCAGGAGTTTTTGGGCTAGGACTACGTTGTCCACGCTCTGCCTTCCTGGGACGAAACTGGATTGAAGTGTATATATTATATTTTTCTAGTTGAGGACGAATTCTTTGCACCAGGATTTTAGATAATACCTTCTAAATTATATTACATAAGCTAATTGGCCTATATTGATTCGAGGATTGGGGTTGTTAATGTTTCTATGACATTATGGGTGAATGGTTTCAAAGTTAAAAACTGTTATAATGAAGTGTTGAATACTTATTGCCACATTGTCCCATTCTTTTTGGAAGGAAATAGCATGAAAACCGTTGGGACCCAGGAGCATTCTTGAGTTTCAGCTGCCACAAAGCATTATTTATTTTCCTAAGGTCTGGGGTTTGAATCAAGACATCCTTATCCTCACTGGCTATTTGGGGGAGTACCGGATATTCTATGGTCTGTGAGCGTGATGGTTCGTTCATGGGGGCAAAAATTTCCTTGAAGTGGGCTTCAATTGTGTTCTTTATTTCTCCTGTGTGTCAGTTATCCATTCCCCCACAGAGTTCATTAGTGTCTTAATCCTATTCCTCATTTTCCTAGCCAATGCAGAGGTGTGAAAGAATTTTGTATTCCTATCCCCAACAGCCAACCAATCAATCCTAGATTTTAAGGGCCAAAATTCTTCCTCTTGCCTTAGGATGGTTTGGTATTCTTCCCTCAGTTGTTTGTCCAGATTAATTAAGAAAGGATTGGGACTTGGGCAAAGCTTTTTCTGAATTTCCAAGAATTTTTCCCTTTTTTTTTTTTTTGAAAATGTTCTTAAATTCCTTCTTGTTCCATTCCCTCAAAGTGCCTGCTAGCCTGCTTATTTTCTTGTTTATGATCTCATCACCCCTTGCCAACCAATACCCCCTTTTTAAGCAAGAGCAAGTAGCTCCTAAAAATACTCTTATTATTCCCAACAAAGAGGTTAAATTTATGAGGGAAGGTATGACTTTGAAAAGAGAAAAAAGCTATTACCACTGCTACCATAGTAGCAACATGTCCATGAGAATTACTCAAAAGCAACGAGTTCTCTCTGTTCTAATAATTGGGCTTGTTTTTCCTTAAGAGAGAACTTTCCAAACTATAAAGAATTAGACGCTCCTAGCCTATATGATTAAAGCTAAAAGGTGAATTGTTTTCTGTTGTATTAATTTTGTGTTGATTTGAGTTGCTTATGTCAAACACACTTTTCATTACCAAATAAAAGCACAACAATTGACTAGTCAAACATCTTTTGATCATTTGATATCGATCGATTGAAAGAGAATAAAATTATTCTTATATACTCTCCTAATGAAAACACAACAACAACTTAGATAGCTCATGCCTTAGAGCTTTGGTACCTATTTCCAAATGCTTTAGAGCTTTGGTACTAGTAACAAGTTCAAACCTTAGAAACGTGCGAAAAAATAGGTATGAAATTGTTGATAAAACTATTCAAAAAATAAATAAATAAATAATTGATACAATGAAAAGTGATTATATGAGATCTGACAAGAAACCAATGTAGACAATAAATTGTTAGGATATATTGTTACATTTCAAAAAAAAAAAAAAAAATTAACAATCGATGTGAGATTTGTCATTCGAGAAGGAGAAAAATAAAAAATTTCAAAGGAGAGAACAGTGATTAGCCCCATTATCTATAATTTTGCGGATATAAAGATGGGGCCGTTGAACCCATTAGATCCGTAATGAAATCTGCCGAATAGACACATACATAAGTTACTCATGGACCATAAAGTTCCTTTTTATTTGTTTTTCTTAATTTAAGGGTCACGAATATTTAGGCCAATCAATGTACATCGTCAGGACTAGAGTGTTCATGAATAGAGGTGTTAATCGAGCTAAATTTGACAAGTTTAAGCATGAGCTTGCCGTACTTGTGTTTTTTTAAGTGAGCCTAAAAAATATTCAAACTTAATAAACAAACTTGAGCGAGCTTGAGCCGAACAAGCCTGAGTAGCTTGACTGTTATATATATAAAAAAGCTAAATTTTGCGATCTTAAGTTGAGTCTTTTAAGCTTGCTTTTCTAAACGAATCTAAAAAATTATTCAAACTTAGCTTGTTTCGAACACAAGTTGAGCTTGAGCCGAGTTTTATTTGACTCGAACCCAAGTAACTTGTTTCAATTAACACTCTTATTTATGAGAGATAAATTTCTCATAGCCTAAACTTAAAGTGTTGTTAAAATTTAAATTCAGAATGTCTGAATTTACAATTCGTCGTTATTACCACTTAAACTATCTCTAACTCTAAAGGGCATAAAATTAAAACACCTATAGCAAAACTTAGAGGGGAATCTGATTTTGTGCCTTGAAAAATTGAAGTGTTTTTTATTTTTTTTTATTTTACACCCTCAAAGTACTATAATGTGACCATTTCTTTGTTTATTTCGTCAAAATTCACCCTATTGAAGATGACAAAATGAGTAATGAAAATTAATGAAATGATTAAATTGCAACACTTTAATACATTGAACGTTCAATGTGTTAAATCTAATCTTTGAAAGTATAAATTAAGAATTTTTGAACATATGAGGGTATAAAATACAATTTGCCCAAACGACACAAACAACAACATATGACTTCCACAAATATGTATTTGCCATCTATATTACAAAACAAGAAGTTCATAGAACAAAGTAAAACAACTATACAAATTACCAATATCAAACGATTAATTTTACAACATATATTTTAAGCAAAGTAAAATATTTTAACCCCAACAACTATTTTGATTATTAACCATTAACCATAGTAAATATTTTAACCACTAACATTTTAATAACCCACGTACATTATTATTTTAACTACATCAAAAGAAAGAGAGTGCATTACAATGTATGGAAATACAATCAAGACGTTCCTAGGGAAAAAGGGGAAGTAAAAACAGAACTTGCTGATCTTTAAAATAATCAGTTTAACTACCTCCCCAGGAAAAATGAAAACACAGAGGTTACTTTTTGATAAATACTTATTTGAAATGAAATTTTTAAATTTCATAAGTCATCCCAAATACCACCTAAGTAGCTGTCTCGCACATCTTAATTCGAACTTCTATAACATGCCTATTACCACTGCACTCGACAAGCAACATGGATTCTTAACCTCCATTGCCCATTGGGAAACAACAAGGTTAGCTAACAAACCCAGAAAAAAAAAGTATCAAAGCTCTCTTCTCCTCAATCAAGCAAGCTAATTGATACATTTTAGAGATGAAAACAAATATGTCTCCCGGGTGGAAAGCTTTCAGCTCACATAATTTGGAGTTCAACTCTAGCAGATAATGACAGCAGACTGAGTGACAGTAGATGTAGTGATGAAAAAGAGCAGCACATCACAACTCCTCTGATTTGGCGTCTTTCTCTGCTTTAACACCTTGTTCCAAGTATTCCTCTTCAATTGTTTCCTTCAGGATGAAAAGCCTCTGAATAACCACTGGTTGGGTCATCTGCCTTGCCTCCCTGATCTCCGTCTCTTCTTTGTTAAGATGGTATGCATCAAGCGTGACCTTAATCCACTTGTGTAGCTCCTTGGGAGTCCTGCTCGCAAAAGATGAAAATATTTCTCAAAATATTAAATTGTAAGCAGAAAACCCAACTTTTCCACTAACAATTTTTGTATACTTTATCTGCAGTGGGGTGAATCTCTCTTACGTGTATATGGCACTGGGGTCCTTGGCATCATGCTCGTCACCTGGGGAGAAAGCTGTTGCCAATGCTGAGAATCGCTCTTCAGGATCAGTGATGTTCAGCAAATACTTGAGTAGCTTTATTTCTTTTGGTGCAATACTCCTCAGACTACTCTGTGTGGCTTTGTATAGCCGATACATTATGTCTTTCACCTGCAACAGTATGTTTAAGCTCAAGGATAGAAGAATACAAGCATTGCATATCAGAATCAAAGTATAAAAGTCAAATCAAGCAGCCAAAGCTCAACTGAATGAATTTAAATGTTTTGGGGAACATCTAACACTTATATCCACTGATTTGAGCATCTAGACCAGAGTTTATAGAAGCTATAATATTAAGGAGATTGTTTTTCGAATGTACAATTCAAAACATGTTACCAAATTGCATTTTGGAACCTATGTTTCAAATTATAACACATTTCTGCCCACAGTGTGCAGGTGGTTTGTATCTTTTACATTTAAGTATGAAATAAACAAGTAATGAATTGAGACTCGGTAGAATCCACCTTTACCTACTTTTCGAAAGAAAAAACAAATGATCACTTTGAATGTGAAGATTGAGAAGAGGTCAAAATGTAGACATCATTAACTCCGAGGTTTTACAATAACATTTGATCTTTTTTACAAGATGGTTTCTGAAATCATTTATAACAAAGTGTGATAAATCACAATATAACAGCTTCACCTTTTTGGTACTTCATAGTATATCATAATTTCTTAACTATACGGATCTTGTGCATCTTGATTATATTGTATCTCATTTATCTTTCAATAGTAGAATCCATTGTGTTGTACACACTTTTCAATTAAGTAAAATGCCTCATCAGATTCTTATGTGATTCATTTTCAGGATTTCAAAGAATGCCAACAAAAATGTGGCTCCTCCCAACCCCAGCCAGAAAAAAATTTGATAACAGAAAAAGGTCCATGAAGGCATTTCATTGTAGGTATTAAAAAAACAGATTTTTTTTTTTAAAAATCCTTGTGGCTTGACTAAAAATAACTTTACCTCCCTAATATTAAAATTATATTCATAACCCTCTAATGATTCTGGCCCAAAGTGAAAAGCATAACATCATTAATGAAAACAAGAAAATGACAATTTTGCTTCTTCTTTGTCCTCTTCTACTTCCTTTTTTGTTTTTCTCATGTATTTATATATAATGAGAGAGAGAGAGAGAGAAGAGAGAGAGAGAGAGAGAGAGAGAGAGAGATAGGGTAGAGGGCATGGAAATGAACTCCTAGAGTTTCTGTGGGTGCAAATAAATGAGCCTCCTAGATTGTTGCATAGAGTGCATGGAGCTAATGGAACTTCCACTAGCATTGACCATGCTTGTTTTGCCATGACAATGAGTGTGATCCACTGCCAAGGAGGAGTGTGCTTCTGGACAAACCATTCCCCATCAGTAAGTATTGTGATGGCGTCCTGATTGAAATATCCTATGGAGTCATTATAGATGTGAGAACCACTCACAAGAGCTTCTTTAAGCTCGCAGTTTGTCTCAATCTCACTGTTTACAAAATGCCTAGATGGACTAAACCTGCACATACTGCAGATCTTCTAACACCCAATTCAATTTTTCAATTTCAAGTTCAATCTCAAACCTTTCAAAGATATGGGGTATGAAAATTCATTTAACCCATATATGGTATGACCCAAAATCATTTAAGTGACAAAGATGTGAATAGGAATTGTAAAGAGAACAGGTTGCAGAAGAATAGAAAAAGAACTGAAACAAAATAAAACGAAGTTGAGGAAGACTAAAAGGGTCTGGGGCATTTTAGACATTGATCATGAGCTTTTTGGAGGGAAACCATGTATAATTCAATGCCCACAACACGATTTTAGCAAGTGAACTATACATTCCGTCACTTTGGATGATAAAACCAGCGGTTACACTTTGCTCCAACATCATAAGGGGGTTATGAGCATAATTACAACATTTGGGAGGTAAAATTATGTTGGGCAAAACTAAAGGTAAATCACCTCTGAAACAATGACAGGTGACGGGTTATTTCGACTCCATAACTTTGTACGAAGTGAGCTTTAGAAAATTATACTTTAAACATCAGATATTGCAATCCATGATTCAAAAGAAGTGTTACAGACCATTATCATATGAAGCTTTTCTATGCACTCAGAATGATATGAGTATACTCACTAGGGTAGTGATCAAGTCCCAGTACCAGGCAACATAATGAATCAGTTTTGCAAACCCAATGTCTGTGCATTTTGGATGTTCTTGGCTTCTAGCCACAAGTCCATGATATAGAGAAGGCACAAAACAAAAATACAAGCTCTTTAAATACCAGACAACACAATCCGTGATTCAGAAGTGCTATGTATCATTAGCATAAGCACTTAGTATGAATTCCTTTGCAAGAGAAAATAATGCAAACTGTCACCCATACCTGATTCTTCATGGTTGTTGACTCTTTTGCTGAAGCCCAAGCACTGTTTATTAATAGGATCAAAGAAGAGTCAAGTTCCTTTGCCTTTGCAAGGTTTTTAATCTTATCACATGCCACATCAACTGAAGGAGAGTTCAGAACATCATCAAATTTGGCCTGGGCAGTATCTAATGTCTCCACTATGTCCAATGTGTTATCATAAGCACCGACTGCAGACAAGCATCTAGCCCCAAGCCTGGCCATCGCTGATCAAACGAATAGTACAATAATATGAAAGCAACTCCGAATCATTCATTTGAATTCAATTCCATCACAGATTTGTGGTTGTGTTATGCAATGTATCTCGTGACTCAAAGACTTAATCAGAAGCTTCCAGAAATCTGGTACTCAATAATGCAACTGACTCTGAATAATTAGTATTCAGAAGCAAAAAAATTTTCCCAGATTCCTCAGTGAGCGTCTAATTATGGCATCATAGATGTCTTATAATCAGTTCTGAAGGCCCCAATCATGAAAATTATTTTCATTGAAATCAATAGATTCAGAATTATTTATAAGATGACAGATGAGCTAGGTCTTTTTGTACATGCCTCGTAAAAAGAATTTATCTTAAGCTAAAAAAATTTATGTGGAGAAAAAGTGCACAAGATGATTCCTAATGTAGTTTAAATCAACAAAACTTTTTCCTCATTTAAAATCGTCTCTTTATTTCATCCACTGCTGGTTGCATAAAATAAATACGACACTGGGTGGTTTGTTGCTCCACGAAATTAACAAGTCCATCTGTTGTTTGAGGATTTAAATGAGTCTTTTCAGAATAAAATAAGATCTGTAAAGACCAGATGCTTCCCTAAACCCTGTACAGCGACAAATCAAGATTTCTATGAATAACTCTATCTTCAATAAATATTAGTAGTCACAATGATGTCTCATAACAACATCTTGATGAAAAATATGGGTTACTTTATAACCACTCAAGGAAGGGGACCATCCAGTACCTATTTCCAAAAAGAAATGATCACGAAAAATAAAGCTTAGACATTGATGTTAATGCAAAAGAAGTGATGAAGTAATTTTTGTATAACATGATAGTGACAATTTTACCAAAGCTAAATGTCTATTGAAATTAGCATAAAAAAGGCAATGTGAAAGGACTATGGAAGCCTTCAACTTATAGATGTAATGAAATGATTAATCAGTCATCTAAATCTATCAAATCTATAAATGCAGTTCTTGGCTTTTACTCAAAGGCATTCAATATATACATGCAACAAAATGAACAATCAGTCATTTAAATATCTATCAAATTAATTAATGAAGTTCTTGGCTTTTACCTGAAAAGGGAAAAAAATTCATCAAAGTAATTTATGTTCGAAGAGATTGATCCCAAAAAAAAAAAAAAAAGAAAAAAGAAAAATTACCATCACGATCCTCCAAGCTATCATATATCTCTGAAAGTAAAGTCAAATGACGGAAAAATTCTCCCGTGAAGTCTTTGCGCCTCTTAGCAACAATGGCATTTATTTCCGTAGGGCTATCTTGAATTTCTTTAAGAAGTTCAGTATGCCTTTCCATTTCATCATCAATCTGCAATGCTCATTCCTGATCAAACACAAGTGTGAAAAGCTCTAAAAAGGCATAAATTTAAACCCATAAGATCAATAATTCACAATCCTTAAATACATTTACAGAGGTTGTTATACCTTCTTGACTTTTCTTGCTAAAGCAATTAATTTTTGCTTCATCGCAGAATCATTCTCAGTATCTGCCCGCGTATGACATCGATTATAGAATCTATCCCTATAATTCTCCCACTCTTCTCTGAACACCAAGTATTTTCTCCAATCTTTGGACCTGGGTTTCTCATTCAAGAACACATCTATAATCTTGTCACACAATTGGGTGATAGTATACCCCTCTGCAACTTCAACCTCAATTTGTTCCTCAACTTGTGCAGCAGACATACTGCTTGCTACGAGGCCTGAACAAGAAAGATATTTTTGAAAGCTCCATAAATATTATCTACCCACAACTTCAAAATCAACTAAAAACACATACACTGTAAAGAATACCCACACGAAAAGATAACCCAGAAATTGGCAATTGAAGCAGCTCATATAGCATGAATAGATGTATCTATGGAGCAAAGGGGAAGCATGCACTTACGTATTCTGAAGTTATTTTCTGTTCTTGTTGATCTTCTTGGTTTGAGAATGTTGGAGTGTTTGGTGGGTAGGGTGAGAGATGGAGAGGACCTAGTGAGCATTTTGGGGGTTGTTGATGGTAATTCTCCATTGATAAGAAAGAAGGTGGTGCTGAAGAGAGAGCGTGTGGTGATAGTGGCGGTGATTAATGTCTCGCCCAAGAGATGGCTCATTCTTTGCGTGGTTGCAGCTGTGAGAGAGTGAGAGAGAGAGAGAGGGAGAGAGGGAGAGAGAGAGAGAGAACGGGTAGAATGGATGATTTGAATCAGCAATTGCTGATAAACCATCGTTGNGGAGAGGGAGAGAGACAGAGAGAACGGGTAGAATGGATGATTTGAATCAGCAATTGCTGATAAACCATCGTTGATTTAACGACGTCGTATATTGCTAAAAACCCATCTAAACCTCTCTCACCGCGAGCGTGGCTCCTCTGCAGTTGACAAGCCAACAGCATATGGCGCGGTTAAATGAGACGGGACCGTTTTGTCTACTTAACTAAAACGATATAGTTTTGTGTGTGGCAGCCCAATAAATCACCAACCCCTAAAAATCAACTTCTCATACTTTTTAATTTTTTTAATTTTTTATTTTTTGGGGGAGAGAGGGATGAGGGTTTGAACCTTTGACATTAAGAAGACAAAACATTTACAAGGTAAGAAGTATCATTGAACCAAAAACTTGTTAGTATATNAATTTTTTTTTAATTTTTTATTTTTTGGGGGAGAAAGGGATGAGAGTTTGAACCTTTGACATTAAGAAGACAAAACATTTACAAGGTAAGCAGTATCATTGAACCAAAAACTTGTTGGTATATATATATAGTTATATCTCATGCCTAAAAGTACAAAATAATAAAAAAAAATAGTCAATATATTTATATTCATACCCAAAATTAAATTACAAATATAGAGGAGAGATAAATAAATTTAAGNTATTTTTTGGGGGAGAGAGGGATGAGGGTTTGAACCTTTGACATTAAGAAGACAAAACATTTACAAGGTAAGAAGTATCATTGAACCAAAAACTTGTTAGTATATATATATAATTATATCTCATGTCTAAAAGTACAGAGTAATAAAAAAAATAGTTAATATATTTATATTCATACCCAAAATTAAATTACAAATATAGAGGAGAGATAAATAAATTTAAGCACTGATTGTAGTTGGCTGAACGGTGGTAGTAGTGGTGGGGGACAGTGGTGATCGCGAAAAACGGTGATAGTTGTGGTGGGTAAAACGACGATCGTGATGATGGTAGCTGCCATGGGTGACAATGGTGATGGCAGTGGTGGGTTTTGAGTGATAATAATGGTAGTGTCAGCCGTGGGTGACACCGATGGTAGTGGTGGACAAAAGTGGTGGTGGTGGGACGACGATGGTGGTTATTGGTGGTGATAATGGTGGTGGTGGGCAACGATGGGTGTTTCTAGGTGACAGTGTGATGAGTGATGGCGAATGACGACAGTGGTAAGTATGGTGGGAGTAGGTGACAGTGGGGTGACTGCAGTAGTGAGCAATGACAGCTAGTGGTGGTAGGTATGGTGGGGTAGGTGACAGTGGCTAGTGATGTTGATAGACGACGATAGGTGGTAGTGGGTGCTAACAATGGGTGACAGTGGTAATGAGATGATGGTAATAATGGTAATAAATATAAGAATAAGATAACGATAATGGTGGGTGATGGCTATGAACGACGATAGTAACAATCAGTTGTGGGTGACGATGGTGGTGGTGGTGGTAGTGGGGCAATGAGGGTGGGGGGTGGGGTAGTGGTGATGGTGGGGCTGAGGGTGGGGGTGGCGATGGTGATGGTAGTTGTGATGATCATAGGGGGTGGTAGGGGTGATGATGAGACAGTAACGGTTATGGTAAGATGCGACAGAGATGGTAATTAGGGGTGGTGGTGGTGGGGCAATAGAAGAGGTGGTGGTGGGGCGATGGAAGTGGTGATAGTGATGGTAAGGTGGGTGACAGTGGGCGGTGGTGGTGGTGGTGGGTATAGTAGGGTAACGATAGTGATTGTGGTGGGGATGGGGTGGGGGTGATGGTGGTGGTGGAAGTGGTGGTGATAGTGGTGGTTGAGTAGTTTCAAACTCTAATTTTTTTTTAAAGTACTTATCAGAAAGAATTGCTAAAAGTACTTTTAAAAAATTACTTCAAAATTACCTTCCGAAAAAAAAGTCACTCCAAACACACCCTTAGGAGACTATGTTCCTATTTGAATTTAGGGTGTTAATATTAGCTCTTATATTAACTTTAAAATAAAATTTAAAGCGATCTCAACCGTGAATAAAAAAAGTCATTTTGTTTATCTTTTGACATTTGAATTATATTGTATTTTATTATATATACTAGTCATTACCCGTGTCTGAAAGTACTATGTAACACAAAAAAAATCGCAAACAATTGTCCAGCTTCAAAAAGAATAACACAAACATATATACCAATTCTTTTAAAATAATCTAAAATATACTGTCAACTATATTCTCCATATTAATAGAATTATTACAAAAATGTACAGAAAAACTCTCTAAAACAACATCACATATACAAATACTTCAAAAAAAAAAATTGATTGAACCTAATAAAATAAATTATATAAGCGCATTAGCATAAACACATAAAATTAGTCAAATGCACAATTAGCATAAACACACATAACATTGTGTGTGTGTGTGTGTGTACAAATAATTGAAGGATTTATGATATTTACATGACAAAGATACACCACAAATAGGTCTAGCATGCTTGTCGAACCAAATCAATGAGAATCCTAGATCTAGATCACACCATTGTGAAGACTTGCAAGGATCAAAGAGAGTCATTGAGACATTTCATCAAACATGTGTTATGCTAAAAATTATATTAAACTAAAGCAATTGGATATAATGATCTAGTCCCTTCACTTGGTTACTCTTTGATCAAAATTTAACCTTAGAAAACAAAAATCGAAAACAAATAGAATTAAGAAACCAAAATTGCAAAAAAAAAAATAAAGCTAAAAATTAAAAAATTCAAAGAACTTAAATAACCACTAAGTCTCTCTATCTTACACTCTCCTTGTCTTTTCGTGTGTGCAAATCTAAGGCACTGGATATACAACAAAAAACCTCAAATTAAACTTGATAAAAATCCATTTCAAGTTTCAACCAATCATTAAAAATCGGACATAAATTAATGTTAGAATTTATATATTTAAGATTGTCTATGAGTGTGAGTGTGTAGTTTGCAAATATGTATTTGTGTCAATTTTGTGTAAGATGGTGGTGAGGTGCTGTGTAATTTGTTGGTAGATTAGGGTTATGAGGGGTTGGGGCTATGGGAAGGAAGAAGAGGGGGAAAAGGGGTTGTGGGTATGACAGGAGGTAGAGGCGAGTGTGAGATAGAGAAGCTAGGAGATGAACAGATAGTGAGCGAGAAAGAATTACCTGGGGGTGTCACAAGCGTGGCAGTTGCTGGCGGTCGTTGGTGGCAGTTGTGATCACTAACTTCGCTACCGTGGCTATTACTAATGGTGGTCGATGGTTTTGTGGCTGATGAGTGGGTTTTATACCTACGAATTGAGTATTTTTGATTTGATAAAATTGCAAGTTTTCAATTATTTTATGTTCCTTTTTATTTATTTTGTGTGTTTTGATGTTTATTTCGTAGGGATGATAGTTTGGAAAAAGTCATGATCATTTGGGAAGAAATAAGGTCAATTTAGAGCCTAAAAGTTGGATTTTTGGAAGAGGAAGCTAAAGGGAATTTTAGGCCTGAAAGGGGGGGCACGCCCCAGTGCCCACATACTGTCCAAATGGCGCCCCTACACTGATTTTTGGTGCCCCCCACACTTGTGTTGGTCTGTGATGCCAATTTTATCTTGTTTTTGACCTGAAATTGGACTCTAAAACTACATATATGCTAGGGTTTGTGTGGGGAAATGATATACTGACTTTTGGGGGTTGAAAACATCTGAAAAAATCAAGGAATTGGAAGAAAATTGAAAACAAAAATCGAAGGAATCAACACGAAGAAGATTGAACTTAAAGGCTAGAGAAGGATTAAATATTACACCTAAGTTTTCATTCTTTTCTCTTACCTTTACTTCTTGTTTTTCTAAGATATTTAATTTTAGAATTATGTTTTTCAATTACATTATGAACTAAATTCTTATTAAGATTGCAATGGAACCTAATGTCTAGTTAAATTGATCTACTCTCGTTTCTAGTTTTATTGATCATGTATGAGTTGTTTGTCATATTTTGTGTTTAATATATGATTGTGTGGCCAATAATTAATGTGATAACCTAGATAAAATTGGAAGATAAATTCTAGGTTTAGATTTGAATATGATGACATGCGTCTGGTTAATTCTTCTTAGGATTAAATTGTTGGGTTTGTGTATAGGATAGAAATATATATATATGTTGTGTGTAACTTTTATGAGACTTTGAAGTTAATGAATCTATTCCAAATTATTTTGCATAGGAATATAATAATTTAATTGGGAGATATAATTTTATCTAACTATCGGAAGAGGTTTGATAAATACTTTGAGTTCTCAGTTAACAACTTATTTTGATCAATTAACTGGAAAGAGAGTTAGAAAGGTTTATACGAAGCATTAGGGAAAGTTGTAATCTTAACTTCTTTTATCCGGTAAATTCAACTCTTGATTATTAAATTTAGGTTTAGTTTTTAGTTAGTGAATTCATAGTTTAATTCCAATTGTTTAAATAAAATCGAATTTATATAAAGTTAGTACTTGGAAGTTATTAGCAATATTTATCCGTGGGAACGATACTCTACTTATCACTTTATTACTTGTTGATCGTGTATACTTGCACATAAATTGTCAATATCAAATTCGAACAACAGTGGTCGTTGGTGGGGCTTCTGATTTGCAAGGGGGTTGGGCTGGGCTATGCGACATAAGCACTGCGATGGGGGAGGGAGAGGTTGGGGGACATGAGAAATATAGAGGGAGATGTGGTGCTGTGATTGTTTTGGAATTTTTTTTTTTTGCTGATCATACAGAAAGGGGGAATTATAGGGGGTTTTGGGTTGGGTTTTTTAGGGGGGTTTCTGGGATGGGTAGAGAGAGATAGAGAAATAAAGAAGCAAAGAGAGAACGAAGATCAAATACAGAGAGAAAAAATTGAATACAAAGAAAGAAAATCAAGCCTCTTATTGACTGTTATCAAACCTATTATTGGAAGGCAGGGATAACGTCGTTACAGATTGGGAGAGTGAGGCAAAAGTGAGATTTCGGAGAAGAGAGAGAGAGAGAGAGGAGAGAGTCAAACAAATAAAAGAATGAGGAAAAGAGATTTGTCGAAAGTTAAAAACACTAATAATTAAAAAAGGAAATGTTGTTGGACGAAAAACCAACATTTAGTAACTTACTGTAGACTGTTGAATCAACATTTATGNTATATAAAGTTAGTACTTGGAAGTTATTAGCAATATTTATCCGTGGGAACGATACTCTACTTATCACTTTATTACTTGTTGATCGTGTATACTTGCACATAAATTGTCAATATCAAATTCGAATAACAGTGGTCGTTGGTGGGGCTTCTGATTTGCAAGGGGGTTGGGCTGGGCTATGCGACATAAGCACTGCGATGGGGGAGGGAGAGGTTGGGGGACATGAGAAATATAGAGGGAGATGTGGTGCTGTGATTGTTTTGGAATTTTTTTTTTTTGCTGATCATACAGAAAGGGGGAATTATAGGGGGTTTTGGGTTGGGTTTTTTAGGGGGGTTTCTGGGATGGGTAGAGAGAGATAGAGAAATAAAGAAGCAAAGAGAGAACGAAGATCAAATACAGAGAGAAAAAATTGAATACAAAGAAAGAAAATCAAGCCTCTTATTGACTGTTATCAAACCTATTATTGGAAGGCAGGGATAACGTCGTTACAGATTGGGAGAGTGAGGCAAAAGTGAGATTTCGGAGAAGAGAGAGAGAGAGAGAGGAGAGAGTCAAACAAATAAAAGAATGAGGAAAAGAGATTTGTCGAAAGTTAAAAACACTAATAATTAAAAAAGGAAATGTTGTTGGACGAAAAACCAAAATTTAGTAACTTACTGTAGACTGTTGAATCAACATTTATGAGATATTTTAAACCGTCTTTTATGTTGGAATTACATTGTTCGTTAGATGTGTTTATGTTTTGTCTCAAAACGATCTAGATCTCTTTTTGTCTCCAAAATTCAAACTTAACTCTACTTATATATATATATATATATTTTGTTCAACGATCATGGGTGTTCTTCTTGATCCAGTCAAAAGTAGATTATATCCGCATAAAAATTAAGTTATTTATGAAAGATAAATCCCTAAGATCATTCTTTTCCAACGTCTTCGTTCTTCCTTTGACTTACTGTGTTTCATTCTCTGTTTCATCGAATCCTTTGTCTTTATAGAGATAGTGCAAGCAATATAATTTTTTGTTGTGTTTATTTGAAATGAATATAATTGACCCAAAAATAATTAATACGGTACCGACTTTGAATCTACTCGTTGTTAAAAAAGAAAAAGGAAATACATATGTGCCATAATAGTTTATATACCTTCAAAATTTGGTTTTTCGTAGGGCATTTTGGGTTAGGGTCAACAATAATAATGTATCATATTTTTGAATTAGATCCCAAATTATATACACGTCATATTATTGTCATATCACAGCTATAAGGTTGAGATTGTGACCCACCCCACAATGACACTCAAACCTTAAACAAAGTGGTCTCTTTCATTGCTTACCATTTTTATGTTCACCCATTTACTACTTACCATAAACCAATACTTGAGAACATGAGTTTGTTTTCAAATAATAACCATGTTGGTGCCAAATATTCGATGTACAATGGTATTTTCCATGATGGATGGGGTATAAGATAATGGGTGTTTTTTTTTATTTTACCCAAATTGCATTTCTAATCTTATTTCCTCTGTATCATAGTTTTTATCTTTTTGCAATTACCGGCTGTTTTACCAAAGCGTAGGCTAAATCCATGCTCATGAGTTAGCGGTCTAGTGAAAAAATATTTGCTGACTTCTTTTCTTTCCAGGATATAGCTGCCTTGCTTGTAGCTCCCTGTTGATATAAAAGGGGATCAAGGGTGAAAGAACCAAAAAGAAGCAAGTCTTGAGGGAGTAAAGAGCCACCGTTAGGTAGTTCTGCACCAAGTGCAATCAATTGTTCTTCTTTTATTGATTGAGCTACTGTTATAAGTTAAACCTATAGTTCATAAAAACGATGGTAGTTTAGGAAATAAGTTGAAAAAGAATAACTGAATGGAAAAAGAGTAAGACCATGACAATAGTTAGATCCTTGATTCAAAAAAATGGAGGCGTAGTTTGTCAATGTGATCGATGATTGAACTCTTTGTTGGTGGATTATCGATAATTAAACTTGTGTAACACTAAAAAAATTCATAACTTATGTCATGAATAATCCTCTTGCTGGTGTATGAACAAAGACCTTTTAGGAGAGTGAAGGGGATTTTTTTTTTGGATCAAAGAGACTTTGGTTGTGTGGAGTTAATGTTCAGGAAGACCAAAAGTTCTATTGTCTACGATTTTTCCAGCAAAATAGTTAAGGTTTAAGGTTTATTTATTGCTTTATAGTAATTCTAGTTAATGTCCGTGGCTGAAGACACTATTAATTAAAAAAACACATCAATTAAAAAATAGAATTAATTTGGGCTCATTATGTTTNACTAGTTAATACCTGTGGCTGAAAACACTATTAATTAAAAAAACACATCAATTAAAAAATTAGAATTAATTTGGGCTCATTATGTTTTTACAAAAAAATCATCAAAATTTTCTCCAAAAATTGATTCCCAAAACAATATTGAGATTGTGCATACAATATTCATAATCAAACATTGAAAGGTTAGTAATTATTAGGGGAATTTTTGTACTTTGAACATTGAAAAATATCTCAATTCCCACTTTACACTCCGAAAGATTATTGTTTCCACTTTACACCCTAAATGTCATAAATTGATTCAATTGTGGCCCTCAAACTAACATTCGTTTAAGATTCTATTAAAAATTGGAAATTTTCATAAATATTTTTTTTTTGAAAAAAGAAAAAAACAATTGTTGGTGTTTACCCCATAAAAGAGAACAATGTATCCATTTCCATAAACCTAGTGAGTACAATGGTATTTTGGGATGGTACAAAATTGAGCAAGAATATTGTTAGAAATATTTAATAAACTATAGTCATTCGTCTCCTATGAATTTAAAAACTCCTCTTCTCCTTTGTATTTGAATGTAGGCAGTGTGCATCTTTGCTTCTTTCTTTTTCTTTTTCTTTTTTGTTGCCCGTGAATGTGTATATTTGCTTGACCCAATAGATTAATAATTAATTAAATAGTAAGATCGCAATTCACCAATAAAACAATGACTCACTCAATGATTAAATGTATACTCCATTACCTTGATGTCTTGTTTGGAAACCCATAATCTAAGTTAGAGAATAAG